TGTGCGGGTTTCAAGGTCTCGGTGTTTTCGAGCTCACCAGGTGCGGGGATGAGGAGGAGCGAGACCCGGGCACTGCACCCAAGCTGCCAACAGGGGTATTCCATACCAGGAACGGCACATTCCATAGACATTAGAAAGTTTGCTGAGGAGTTCTCTCTCTCCCGTGATGGCTGCCATCCTGAGAACTCCTTGTCCCGGTGCCGGAGCCCTGAGCCCGTCCCTTCCTCCCAAAGCCGCAGCGCTCGCAGTGTCCCACATTGGCTGTCACTGCTGGGAGTGAACGGCTTCTATGGATAGAACGGGCTGAGGATAATCCTGGTATATTTTTGTATTGGTGTCGGGATCAATATTGGTCTTTAGTATTATTAATGTTAATTATCTAGTCTTATTCTATTAAATCTGCTTATGCTTCAACCCTTGTTTTTCCCAGTTCCCCTTCCCGAGTGGGGACGGGTCATTAGGCGAGAGAATAATTGTCTAAATGACAGTAAGTTGTTGTAGGTTTCTCAAACCATTCCAACCTTCTTCTCCCCCAGGTACTACATGCAAGGAGTGTGTCGGGAGGGAAGTAAGTGTCTGTTCTCGCATGACTTATCTACAAGCAAATCCTCTACCATCTGCAAGTACTACCAGAAGGGACAGTGTGCCTATGGAACTCGGTGCAGGTAAAGACCCAATTCCTTTTGGAACAGTGCGTTCAGAAGAACTGGGCATAATAATCACATGCCGTCAGCTTTAAACCCCAGAGTTTAAAGATAAGATTTTTTAGAAGACTTTCAAGAAAAGATAAAGATTTTTTGCATGACAAGGGGAATGAAATAATGTATTGAATATGAGCTTTTTCTCCCCTGACCAAAACCAGCCTATGGATGCAGTATTGTAGTTGTACTCTGCCTTGGCTTCAGCAATTATTTTACTCTGTAGAAATTAAGCTTCAGGTTTCACGTATGTTTTCATCCAGTTCTTATTGTAGTAAAACCTATTAAATACAAAAATAGAGCCTGCAACTTCACACAAAATAGCAGTTGGCAGCATGGTTTGCTTTCCATGTGACCAAAGTGGCTGGAAGTGGGCAGTGTTTCGGCAGTGCTTTGCTCAGGTCTCCTGATGTAGCTCGTAGTCTCCTTCATGCAGATTCTAACATACAATTTTGAGGACTTTCAGTTCCATTTTAGAGCAAAGTGTTTTTCTTGCTGAATGGTACCACACCTTTTCCTGAAGTCTTCTGGTTAAAACTCTCCTTGAGAAATGCTCTAGTAAAAACTGTGTTAGTTGATGTTGTTACATTCCATCAGGGACGTGCCACAGGGAATTTTCCTTCATGGAAAAATTCTGGTCACGGGTGAGCAGCCTGTGTTTGTACGTTCACCTGACAAGAACAGGGGATCTCAAGACATTGCTGTCATTGCAATGGCTTAGTTATATTTCCTTTCCTTTGCTTAGTTCATGATATCAAACTTGGATCAAGAGATTGAATATCAGTGATTTCTGCAGCTTCCATTAGCTGCTGACATTGAACCAGTAATGTCTAACGTTGCTGGTGGCCATGTTGTTCACGGGGACCACATCATATGTTGACTGGACTATAGTGATGGCTGCAAAGTGTGTTGCTGTTTTACTCCAGCTGTTTTGCTAGAGTTTGGGGCATACGGTGCACGTGATCGATTCATGTGTATGGCATGTCTGTGGGCACGTACAGGGCCAGAAATAGATGAGAATATTTTTGTTCCCATCAAAAATATTCTAGTATTCAGGTATGCCCATGGCTCTACTGGACCAGCCTCTTTACTGCACTGATTGCATCTGCTCTGCTGCTGGAGTATATTTCCATAGCTTTACCGGATGTTTTGAGTCCTTTCCTATCTGTGTGCAAACACTGCATCTTCTCCTGTGGTGTGGGAGCATAAAGCCTGAGTGTTGCTGCTTGCAGGGGGAAAATGAGATCACAAAGTGTTGCTCCTTCCTGCACAGCGTTTTGATGTTGTGTCTCTGCGAAATGCCAGCAAACCTGTTTGTGTGAAGGGATGATGAAAATCTAATTTAGTATGCACATGAGTGATGTTCTTTCAGCTACCCTGGGTGTCTCTGGAGGAGAAAATATAGGTGTGCTTTCAGAGGCATCTGTTTTTTGAGACTGGGGAACCTTTTAGTTTGGCTTTGAAAGAGACTGAGCAATTCAGTCAACTTTGTCAGAACAATCCTTTAAAAAAAAGAAGTAGCTATTCAGTTTTACTTTGTTTAAATATTCATCAGGGCAGTGTCCCGCCACTGTGCCAAGTTTAGCCTTTGTAACGCTTGTTCTGTCTCCTTCCTTTTGCAGGTATGATCACACCAGACTTCCTGCGCCAGGGGGTGCAGCGGCCCCTGCGCCGCCTCCCCGCTCCTCGGCAGCGCTGCACAACCCTCGCCATCCTCCCGAGCACAGCGCGCCCATCATCAGGAGCAAACTACACGAGACCGGCAAACGGGAGAAGAAAACGCTCGTGCTCAGGGACAGAAGTGAGTGGGAGTGGTGCTGTGTTCCTCCTCCTTGATTCTTGATGGGAGTTGGGTAGTTTTTCTCCTTTTATTGCTTGAGTTTCACGGAGAGCTGGAGAGGGGCAGTCAGACTTCCTTACCCGATGAGGCCTCTTTCCTGAAAACGCTTGTGCCCATCGGTACCTTTTAATGACCGTGTCCAGCTGACTGGCTTTTAGCCTGGTGTTCCCTGAAACTTTTGTTTTGGGGGATTTTTTGGGGTGGGTTTTTTTTTTTTTTGGTTTGATTTGGGTTTTTTTTGGTTAAAATATCTCTGCCCCTCATACCTTTTTGTGCATTTTGCTCTCGATGTGAGGGCATTTGCAATGGTTGAAACCTGGCTGCTTAGTGCCACGTGCTCTGTGGAGGATCGTGCCAGCCCTTAGGAACACAAGCATGGAGCCATCCGTCCACGCCTGGCAGCTGGGGGCAGAGGAGCTGAGCCCCCCTGCCGCCTGCACACTGTTCTCACCTGTTCTCGCTGCCGCGCCGGATGGGCCAATTGTCCTAATGTGAAATGAGAGGATATTTTAGCCTGTTTGTAAAACAGCTGGAGAAATCTTGAAATCGAACTTTTCAGTAGGTAGTTTGTGAAAATTCTTGTGATTTGTGAGCAAAAAGGGCTTAGAGATGAGGTTTCATTGAGAAGAAAACTTTTTTTTTAAAAGAACACCTGGTAATCATTGGAAACAAAGTATATGGACCTTCTTGTGTGGGTTTTGGGCGGTGTCTTGTGTGGTTCATACTATGTTTTTGTTTCCTAAGATCTGTGTGGCTTGAATGAAGAAAAACAGAAACCCAGTGCCACAAGCAACGTGGTCTGTTGCAGTGACCAAAACGATAATCTGGAAATGAAGCCCCATTCGTATTTGGAAGCTATTTGCAGCGGACTGGAAGATCCAGTCGCTGGAAGCTCCTGTGCTGATGGAGAGCAGCTGTGTCCTTACGCTGCAGCGGGAGCCTGCCACTTTGGAGATCGCTGCCTGTACCTCCACGGGGACGTGTGTGAGATATGTGGATTGCAAGTACTTCACCCTTTCGACCAGGAGCAGAGGAAGGCTCATGAGATGGTAATAATAACATGAAATCAGTATGAGATTTGCTTTGCTCAGTGCAGGATTTGGCTTGTTGGCTCTAAAACCCAAAGATGTGTTTTGTAGAAGAGCCTGGTGTTCCAAAGAGCTATTGTTTTGTTTATCTCGCTATAAAATGATCCTAAGAGAGGTCTGTTCCAGCATCTAGGACTTAATTGGTAGTGATGATGCAGATAGTCTTTTAGAGCAACCTCCTTGTTTCCCATTTCATTCTTATGGGAAACTTGCTGGCAGCCTTCTCCCAGAACACCCTGAAACTCTACCAGGAAGATGTCTTTTGTAGCTTACACAAC